GACTTTTGCAGGTCTTGCTGATGGAAGTGGTAGTCCAACTAAGTAATGGCCTATGGGCTAACCCACTGGTTCTTAACCTTGGGTTACTCAGGAGTTTTGGACTGCAACCCCCAGAAGCCTTCACCACCAGCTGTCCTGACTGGGGTTTCTGGGAGTTACAGTTCAAAAGCATCCGAGTAACACAGGTTAAGAACCACTGGGCTAACCAAAAGGCACCTCCCTATTCATGATGGCCTATCTAGGAACCCAACATCTAGAACACCACACACACACCCATCCTGTTTCTCAGCAATAAATTCTCAGCCGTATTGCTGAGTTTTTAAGAGTTTTGCCAGAAGAGAGATTCTGCTGGTTGTGAATTTCACATGGACAGCTATACTAAAAACCGAGGCATTAAGGGCCAGGAAGCAGGCAGAAGATATTAAATTTACCTATTGATTTGAGTTCAGCATCCAATTTGCTAGCTTCAGGCTTCTGATTTAATTGCCAAGGCTAATCGTTATAAACAATTCCATTGCTCATGAATTTGTCAAATCCTTCCTGCAAGCCCTCTGAGCAACTGGTCATCACTGCACTCTGCAATTCTAACTTCAGTCAGTTTAACTGCATATTATATGCAATGGAACTGGTGGACCTTGACATGAATGCCATTTCCAGAGCTACTAGTGTTCACCTGCAAGATCGTTTTGGGGAACGGTGAAGGAAAGAAGGAGGAAAGTGAGCCATCTTCACCCATAGAGCCACCAGGGGAGGAGAAAGGGAAGATCGAGGTCTGTCTGGTAGAAGGGTTGGGAGGAAAAGGGGAAGAGCTAAAGATGTCAGCATGGGAGGAAGGTATAAAAGATCAAGGAGAAAGGAGGTTAGTCAGTAGTTTCGAGAGTGAAGGAGTAGATTCAAAGTATGAGAGAACGTGTGGCCTTTTGAAAGACTTTCCTAACCTAAAGGTCGATGGGTTGTTACCAGACCCAGGGGTGAAAAGAGTAGGAGAGACGATGTTTGAAACTCAAGAATGGACAGTGATTGCTTTCCCACGGGGGCAAAGAGGTGGGAGGAAGGGTATCCAGCCAGATCAGACATACAACAAGCCCGTAGAGGGAGACTGGGCTCAACACCTGTGTTGCAGCGCCGTTTGCAAGGTACGGAGTACCCCTCTACGGAATTCCATGGATTAGGAGCGTTTTGGTCCAGCCCCTCAGTGAGTTATCCTAATTTTCAAGAAAAACTATCCTCATCTAGTTATGGAATTTTGCCTGATTTGTCTTGTTACGATCTGGTTGCAGGGGTTGTTGAAACACTGAGAGTTAATAAAGTCGAAGTTGTAAACAGTATGGACAAGTCTCAGTCATTATTTCCTGTCAAAGTTGAGGAACTGCTGCAACTTTCAAATGAACCCAATCACAGGAACCCTAACTTGAAATGGGGGTCAGTCCTCCTACCCCCATCTAGAAAACTGGATCTGGTTGTATGCTCACAATCACTTGCCCACATGTGCTGTCCTGAAGGCTGTGACAATATGTGAATCATTTTATGTACAGTATGTATGTATGTATGTATGTATGTATGTATGTATGTATGTATGTATGCATTCATTCATTCATTCATTCATTCATTCATTCATTCATTCATTTATGCCCCGCCTATCTGTTCATTGCGAACACTCATGCAGACACACTCCCAAACCCCTCCCCAGTGCACTACTCCCATTATGGCTGAACCATCATCAACAAAGTTACTGAAGCAAGGGGTGAGTGGCAAAGCCTGAGATGGAGAAGGCTGAGGAAGTCAATCTATAGACTTTGCAGATGAACTGGGACCGTTCCTTCTTGATTCAGCAAGGGCCAGGTTTTCAGCTCAGCAGAGGAACTATGTCTGAGGGATCTTCCCTCATTGTCTGCCATGTGGCCAGCCAGCTCCCATAACCCTCTGCAGCTAGATCAGCACTTGACCCACATTTTACCCAGCCAATTGGACATTTACTGAGTCCACTGGGGGGTGGAGCATCTTACAGGTGGATCTGCACGGAAGAGTGTGCACTCCAGTCCATTTATATATATAGATGGTTTTGTTACATATGTAACACAACCACATCTACCCAGAATGTATGCTGCTTTGAGCTAAAAGTACATTATGATAAACATACAGTATAATAAATTTTTAAAAATGGCACTGATGTGACCATTAAAGGACGCTTGACACTATAGAATGATTTAACTAAAAGTCATGTTGATTGTTAAGTAGCTGCTTCTAAGTATTGTTCAGAGCCGCTCAAGTCAAAGTGTGTGATGCTTGAAAGCATGATGTTATTTTGGCCTCAGACCCATAAATGTGATACATGCTTCCAGCTTCAAGACTCCAGTTGAAGACCTCTTTGGTAACTGGGTCCATAGTTGAACTGTTCCTTAACATCAAGATGTTTTCCCTGATGGTCCGTTGCTATCTACCCTCCTGCCCAATAAATCTTGTCCCTCCTAGGCTTCCAGGCTAAACAGGATGGCTTCTTGAACTTTTCCTTTCATAGGACACCTTCAAGTCCATTGACCCATGTTTTCTGCCCTCCGAAAACCTCTCATAAGTTTTAGTGTAGATATACTTTGTCAATGTATTTTTCAAAGAAAGTCCTGTCTGTCGACAGCTTTATGAAGTCAAGGAATACAACTGTAACGTGACACTTCCTCTCCCATGTTAGCACTGTGTCTCCCACTATCTCACACCCTCCCCTTCTGGAGGCTCTGCCAGGCCATGTCCAAATCTGTCTGATGTGGATGTTAGAACATTAGTTTTCCTTTCCAAAGTTACAGTGAAGGTTTGTGCAAACCCGCAAGCAAAGCAAGACTGGAGGAGCTGCTTCGCAAGCTGTAATTATGTAAAAATCCAGAAGCAACTCTTGGGAAGGGGGGGTGGAGGCTATAGGTCTATCATTATTGCTTGCACGGTGCTGCCAAAACAATAGGATTCCCTCTTCAGAACCTTGCAGTCTCTGGGAAGATATCAAGGGATAAAACATTGCGGATCTCTTTAGGGACTGAAGGACCTCAAGTGTGCTGTAGAACATGGGGTTTATCCAGAGATTCTTGCTAAAATCCACTGCTGATAAGAGACAGCCTTGTTAGTCCACTCTACCAAGAACCAGTTGGTTTCCTAGCCCAGTCAGAGACCTACCTTTACTGAGGCAAATTTCAAATTTTCAAGGTTCTATCTTTAATCTACCCAGCATGCGTGAAAGTTTCCACACATGCCAGCTGTGGAAGGCTCTAATAAGATCCCACAAAATGTACCTCTAAATCTAAATGTATCCCTGTAAAGTAATATACTGTACTATATCTGAATATGGTAGTTTCCCAACTCACTCTTCCATTTGGTTTCCTGTATTTTTCAGTGTATAAGACACTTCCATGTATAAGACGCCCCCCTTTCTAACCTAAAATTAAGAAATCTAAGTGGGGCTTAGCAAGTGGAGGGGACAGCAGAGATCTAAGTCCTGCAGGATCACTTTGATCCCTGCTTTCCCCTCCACTTTTGTTCTCTCCTCATCTTACCTCCATGTAGTATAAGACGACCCTCAATTTTTAGTCTAAAGATTTGACAAAAGTATAGTATTATACATGGAAAAATACGGTACATCAAGAGATTTTAATTAAATAATTGGCTCTAATAAGATCCCACAAAATGTACCTGTAAATCTAAATGTATCCCTGCAAAGTAATATATCTGAACATGGTGGTTTCCCAACCCACTCTTCCATTTGGTTTCCTGTGTTTACGTTAAGAGATTTTAATTTAAAAAAAAATCCTTTAAACTAGTTTTGCTGGAAGCCCACCCATCTTTGTTGGTGGAACAAAACATACATGGCCAGGCTCATTTTCTGTATTCTTCCATGGCTCGCTGTGCTACACCTCCAATGCTCTATTTTATGGCACACTAACCCCTTCTTGAAGATATGACTATGACACAATATGTAGCCTCAAGCTGATGAAAAATTGTGTAAATAGAGCAGAAAACCTGGAAAAACCATACATACATGTTCAGCCTATTGTTGTGGCAACCAGTGGCAGCTGGTGACTAGTGGAATAAACACAGAAGAGCATGATTGAAGGAAGCAGAGTGTGGGTATCAGCAGCCTAGATGGCACTTAGCTCTCTATATGATTCTATGAGGCATACACGAGCAAGACACTGACCCCCACACAGCTCAGCCCGATGACCTTCACAAAGCAGCCGGGAACAGCTTTGGTGTTCTGAAAAGCCAGTTCTCTGGGTAGCCACATAAAAAAGTACTTGCAATCATGAATCAGTGGAGTGATGACTGAAATTAGGAAAGAAGATCCCCCACGAGTTCCAAATCCATTAAGAATGGAAAGCTAGTGCTATAATGTATGAACTTGGGTGGAAAACCAGATTGGTGGCAGTCGTGGAAGGAAGAACCCCTGGCCAGCCCCTTCATGGCAATATGTAAGCATGGGCAGAAAGCTGCCAGTATTATCTTAAGTCCAATGATCCTTTTATCTTCCTTCCTCCTTCCCTCCCCACCTCTCCTCTGCCACCTCCTGAACCCCTGGAAGCACAATGTGTTTCTCTGGCATCTTTACAGCCGTTTGGAAACGGTGACTGAATATGCTTTCAGAGCTAATCTTTGCAAAGATTCATGGATTTTTCTTGCATTCTTTTTTAAGTTTTGTGTTTTCTATGCCTGCAAAGCACAGGGTAAGCCACTGCCTGTCAACCAATTGATTCCCTGTTAGAATTTATAAAGCTATTCTTACCAATTCCTGATAATTGGGTGCATTTTGATTATTGTGTGAAGCTAGAATTTTTGAGAAACAGCTGGATATGGATATGAGTGATTTGGGGTAAGCCTGCTGACACATGTTACTGCCGCACCTAAAAAAGCCCACTATGTAGAAGCTTGTACATGTCTACAGATAACAATTCTTAAAAAGACTTTTAAAAATTGTTAATGGTTTTAATGAAGTTTGATGTGCAATAAGCATGGTGCCAGAAGTTCTATTTTTAATAGCTGGTTTTGTATACCATCAATTTACATTTAATTTCATAAATTACTAATTGGTGTATGTGAGGTTAGGAAAGCATTTTGGCTACGTGCAGTAAAGTTTTAAGTACTACCGAGGTACAACTTGTTACTATCTACTTGCTAGATTCCACCCTCAAGCACTTGTTTCAAGAGTTCTCTATGAAGAGACATCAAACTCTATCACACATATGTATTCCTGAGAAGGTATGTGTGTACGCAAAGGTACATTTTCTGAACTCATCAGAATTTCATAGAAAGGATAGCCATGGGATTCAGGGAGACTTTTTTAAAAACAGGAACTGGAGGACAATTTTTTTACTTTGGTAGCTGTAGAATAAAATGAGGAAACCCAATTTTTAGTGAGTGAAGTGAGAACATTTATGCTGTGCATAGAGCATATAAAATCAACATGACTTTTACATCAGACAAGACAAGGGTAACTGTATCCAAATATGAATGCACATTTAGTTCTGACTTCAGGTAACACTGTTGTGTTGTGAAATAATGCACACATACTCTCACTTAAAACAGGTACAAACGTATTAAATATGTCAAGGTTTTTAAACAGAACACGTACAGGTTGTTTCACTTAGTTCAACCAGCGGAAGCAGGATAAAGAGCACCCCCCTGTGCTTTGTACGGACATTACAAGAAAACGTGATCCATTAACTTGGCATCTTCCACATCATCGACAGGAATTTCAACCACTCCTTCCTGTTCAGCAAGAATTGAGATGAGGAGCTTGCTTAATTTTTCTCTCCCGCTCTGTAGGCAGATTTCAGCAATCTCCTTCCATTCTTCCACACTGCAGACTGTATCGTTTACAATCATCTGTGCTAAAACATCTGTAAATATGTTTCAGAAAGAAAAAAGTGGATATTTCACTGCATTTCCTTTCCACAGGAGTCATAAAATAGAAATGTGGATTCATTTTTATAGGATCATAAATCAGTTTTACAGCAGCACATTCTACATGTATATATAGAAATGAACTCCAATTAATTCAATAGGACTATAAATACTCTTTAGTAGGACTGAAATCCTAGGTATTCTTCCTAGAGAGTCAGCTCCATCAGATTCTGTTTGCCTGACTTTTCAGTAAATGTGCACAGAATTGAAAGGTCAATCCATTTTTTTAAGTGGGAAGATGCAAAATGCAAAGGTAGAACAGCACTTTGAATAATGGCATTAATGACCAGAATCCAGTAGTATGTCCAAAACAAGAGAATAAATACGAAAGCCCTTACATTCATTTGTATGTCCGTACTGAGTAAATGCAAATAAATACTACAAAATGTTTTGGGGAGGGCATGCTTTTCCACTTCAGCTCATTAAAAAAAAACCTAACATGCTAGTAACATACAACTAAGAACTACCGTGTCTCTCCGAAAATAAGACAGGGTCTTATATTACCGTATTTTTTGCTCCATAAGACGCACCTTTCCATAAGACGCACCAATTTTTTAGGAGAAGAAAACAGGAAAATATAATCTGTTTTCTTCGCTCCATAAGACGCACAGACTTTCCACCACCCCTGTTTTGTGGGGGAAAAGTGCGTCTTATGGTGCAAAAAATACGGTAATTTTTGCTCTAAAAAACGCATTAGGGCTTATTTTCAGGGGATGTTTTATTTTTTTTTCATGTACAACAATCTACATTTATTCAAATACAGTCATGTCATCTTCTTCTGGTTGCTACACAATGGTGGAGGCCGGGGTTTCCCTTAACTAGGGCTTATTCTTGGAGGAGGGTTTATATTACAAGCATCCTGAAAAATCATACTAGGGCTTATTTTCAGGTTAGGTCTTATTTTCGGGGAAACAGGGTAGTATGGATGTATGTATGTATGTATGTATGTGATTTATACCACCGGACCACTCTAGGCGGCTGTATGTGACAGATTATTCTTACAAACCGGACCACTCTAGGCGGCTGTATGTGACAAAAGTACAGTAACAGCAATGCTAATGCAACACACTTCCAAACTCTCAAGAAAACCTACTAGTCCCATGACAGTCAGCAGGATGGTTTGTCCTGCTAAGACAATTGCAAGCACCTCCAGGCTGGCTGTACTCACTCCTGCCTTCCTTGGCAATCTCCTCCAACAGTCGTAAGCTGTAGACTCGGTGCTCTGTGTTGATGAGGGAGAGGACCGTTTCCCCGAGGGACAAGGGCGCTGGCTTCCCTTTCCATTCTTGTGTAAGGCAGCGGATGAGTTGTACCCCAGGACAGTTCTTCATGAGGAAGATGTAGTCCTCTGAAACCAAGCAGCAAGAACATTAAAGGTCTGAAAAGAACAGATATTTCTGTGGAGGCTTCTAAAGGGAACATGAAGAACAAGGAAACTTATTTCTCCATCAATGGTTTTGTCAGACAGTAGACGTAGAATGGCTGAGTAATCGTATTTCTTATCCGGCACACAACTAACCCATGGAATCAGCTGGTGTAGTAATAATGGCATTTAGCTTAGGTGACTTTTAAAAAAGGGTCACACCGGCCCCTGGAGAGTAGGTTCATGCTTGCCTGAACAATGACCACCAGTGGTCTTCATCAAATAGGCATTTTTGTCTCAATTCCTTATAATGTGGTCACAATTGACCAGATAGGCGGGGTATAAATGAAATAAATAAAATAACTAATAAATATAATGTCTGAACAGATATATAAAGAGATGTAGCGTCTGTTGGTAGAAAGGACTTCTAACTAATGGATCTTCTCATAAGTACACCATCATAAGCTTTTGTTCCAACGCAACCACTGTGTGTTTATTTCAGCCGTCTATAGTTTGGCAAGAGAGCTGTATCGGGGACAAAATGTTAATGGAATAGTAAGTGGGTGAATGTGATGGACTAGAGAAGATGTTCAGAAGCTTTGACAGATGAGATTTACCTTCACTCCACAAGCTGGCCAGGTTATGTGGCACCAGGTAACTTTCCAAGACTTGTGTCCGGTTGTGTAAAAAAAATTTATGGATTGAAGAGATGCGTGCTCTCTCATTTCACCTCTTCCCCCATTAAGTCTGAGATCACAGAGGGAAGTAGCTCTTTGCTACTCAGCCTTCTAAGATGCTCAGCTTCTAAGAAGTCAAGTGGGTCAGCTAATTTAAATAGGACGTTTTCATTGATAAGGTCTGTAGCATTCTCTTACAGAAGGTGGGAGGTTGGTAGCATGACAAGGGCCAGGGGTGAGAAACTTTATACATTCCCAGGAACCCCCCCCCCCCGGCGTGGTTAATAAAACTTGTTTTTGCTTTCCTTTTTCATGTGCAATTGTACTGAAAGTGCTGGCAAGATTACCAGGAGGAGTTACAAAACATAAATAGACATGGCTTTAAACTCTACCTCTGGGAAGGTGCTTCAACTGATGAAGGTAATCCAGAGCTCCGAATATCTGCCCCTGTTTGCACAAGCACAGAACAGCTTTCTTGTGGCTCCCACACTGACTATAGGCAATCTGAGCCAAAGCGAGGCACTGGGACTTATTGTGCTTATCCACCTTTGCATAGTCATAAATTGCATCACCAGCCGCCTCTGACAACTCCAGTCTGGGGGAGAAAAAAAAGACAATCAGCTGTTTGACTTTTGGGGCATGGCGAAGAAGTTAAAAGGAGTAATAATGTCAATGCTGCAAGTCTTGCAGTCTAAGACAAGGATGCAGAATATTTGGCCCTCTAGATCAATTGTTGCCCACCTTGGGTCCCCAGATGTTCTTGGACTACAACTCCTAGAAATCTTGGCAAGAACAGCTGGTGGTGAAGGTTTCTGGGGTAACCAAGGTGGGACAGCTGGTGGTGAAGGTTTCTGGGGTAAACAAGGTGGGGAAATACTGATCTAGGATATATGATGCAAAGAGAAAAGGAACAACAAAAAACAAAACAAGGAAGTGGGAGGTGTTTGTACCACAACCCTTTTCTATGCCTGCATCCTGGAGTTCAGAGGATATCACGTATTAAAGCTCTGCCCCTTAAAAACTTCTCCCTGTTCATGTCCCTAGTTTTCAGGCTACAAGCTTTCAGAGAGAGGCAAAAGAAAAGGCACAGATGGGGCTGTTTTCCCAGACAGACCAAATGGCATGTTAAAGGTACCGTACTCTCCCCGCCTTTAGATTTAGAAGAGAGCAAGGGAGAATCAATCAGGTGATGGTAGCTCTGGGGAATTTAGGAAGGCAGAGGCCCTTTGAACCTGCTCCACCTTGCTGCTACATACAATCGCATTCGTGTGGAACTCTTCCTGTGTGGTCTAGACAACCTTTGATGTTACCTAAACTGTTTCCATAGTATAAAAATAGGAAAACTTGTAACAAGTATTCACTGTGTGGTCTAGACAACCTTTGATGTTACCCAAACTGTTTCCATAGTATAAAAGTAGGTAAACTTGTAACAAGTATTCAGACATTCTACCATGGCTGCTTTCCGCTCAAAACAACCCATGGTGCTCTGTGCTGCCTTCGCCTCCCCATCTTGTCCTGTCCAAGTCTCTCAGAGATAGCTTCGGACTGAAATGAGACATTAAACAGAATTCTTCTCTATTTTCACAAGGCTAAGCACCCTATATGTAAGATACATCGATGAGAAAATCATGTGTTGTGAAAAATACGTATCCCTCACCACTTGGGCAGTTCTGTAAAAACTGAGATACTCATATCATCTACTTTGACCCTGAGTTTCAGAGGGACACATTTCATGCTTTGAGAAGCACAACCAACACAGAAGCTGCCCGTTGTCAGCTTCCCAAAGGTGAGGTCCTCCTTTGCTCTGACTCATAAGTAGATCAATATGAACATGGAACAGCACTACTAACAAATGGGTTTGATGTATCTGAAGTCTGTCCTTGAGTCAGCACCCTATATGTAAGATACATCGATGAGGAAAATCAACATGAAGCCCAGTGACATTTACTCTGACTCACAGTTCTTCCTCACTGCCTTTCCCCTCAGTGCCTATCTGACCCTTTTTCACTGGAGTTGCCGAAGATCTAACCCCTACTCAAAACACGACCTTTCTGTCACTAAGCTATGATTCCTATCCTGCTGTTCCATGTGGCCACTTACTTGTGCAGGGTGATCCAGTGCATTACCAGGTCTAGCCGTTTCTCAGCCAAGGCGCATTTGATGGCTTCTGCGGTCAAGTTTGCAGGAAGAGGCTCCTTAATAGCAATGCTTGTGTTTACGAGAGCTTCACAGTACATGAGCAAAGGAAGCATCTTCCCTTTAACGGGACCAACAGCTATTTAGAGAAATCAGTGAATTAGAAAAAGGCTTGAAGATACTCTTTGCCTGGAAAAGTTTCTTTTTCTGCATTACTGACAACCTCTCAGTTCACTTCCTGGCCTCAATCAGGAGAAAACAAGGGTGACCCTCCAGATACAAGGATGGGGCAAATTACTTTTCTCATTTACAACTCCCGCAATATCCCAACGAGCATGGCCAATTGGTCTGAGAGGGCTGTCCACAAAAGTAAAAATATTTGTCTTTTTTAAAGAAAGTGAAAAGTAGGAGGGTCTCAGAGAAACTGAGCTTTTTATTACAATCACCCAAATTACACATAATGAAGAGAGTTGCAATATTTGCGGTTAGAGCCTCTATATGTAGATCCAAGTATTTGGAAAATATTCATGTATAATTGTACTAATATAATGTATTTGCTATGGTCTCTGGATTAAACAATAAAGAATCTGTTCTGTTCTGCTTGTGTTAACATACATGTGCATCACAACACAATCCAAATTAAATCACAACTGGGCAGAATTTAAACCATACTCCCCACCTTCTATCCATCACACTAGTCTGGGGATCTTGATCACTGATTGCCTCCCTCCAACCCACGACTGGAAAAAAAAAGTCAACCAACCTTCTCTTTAAATTAGAAATGAAAGAAACTAACATGTCTAGCAATGAAGTGGAAACTGTTCAACTTGTGGGCACCTAGGCTGAGGATATAGTTGAAGATTAATGATTCACATAAGTGTTACTAACATAACACTGAGACTGTTAAAGTCGCTCAAAATATTATTGGCATTCTACTCCAATTAGGGGTAAATAATTAAAAGTAACAGCCAGCATCCTAGTGAACTTCTACTGAGTAGAAAGTTCTGCCAGTGCAGTAACTCACAAGTGAGCCACCTGCATAAGTGTTGTTGCACAAGCAGAAATCTCCATTAAAAAAAAAAAACAACAGTCTTATTTTTGTGCAAGGATAATGTCAGGCCAGGGATTCTACATCTGAACATCTCCCTAAGAGCCCTACAGAACTTCATAGACCTCTCAGGAAAAATCAGAAGCCTGTTTCCATCATAGCTGGCATTTATCCCCAAAAAGGGTTAATTCCAGAATGTAACCAGGCAATCAAATCAATATTCATCTGAGTATCTAGGTATAAGTCTTTTCGTTGTTGCAATAATTGCAAATAACATCAGCTTGTCTAACTCTATAAGCTTTGCTTATTCACATTGCTTCTATGTTCCATAGGCACAAAAATACTTCAGAGTTGTAAAAATACGAAAGTCTTACAACTATGAAGAAAAGCGTGGGCAGAAATATTTTAAAAATATGAAAACTTAATGTTAAGTTGCAGGCTAAATTCAATCCAAAATACAGCAGCAAAAGTACAATAAAGCACTGGTTCTTAACCTTGGGTTACACAGGAGTTTTGGACTGCAACTCCCAGAAGCCTTCACCACCAGCTGTCCTGACTGGGGTTTCTGGGAGTTGCAGTTCAAAAGCATCCGAGTAACAAAGGTTAAGAACCACTGCAATAAAGTATTAAAATGAACATTTTAAGTTGCATTCTAAAAACCCAAGTGCTTATTATATGCAACTTAACGGGTTTTGAACTGCCCCAGAGAGTGGTTACACTATGGGGCAATATGCAAGTAGAAAAAATAAACAAAATTATAGCCTAGTAAGGAACATTTATACACAATGAGAAAATATTAAAGTCATTAAAAATAAGAATATATTTTTAGCTTTTAAGCATACTAAAAGTACACATATAGAAAATTACTCTAAGTGCTCATCCAGCCAGACCAGCGGAATCTATGGAGGGAAATCCATGTTACCATATTTTTCCATGTATACGACCCCACAATATATAAGACGACCCCCTAATTTTTATCCTTGCCAGAGGCGGAGAAGCAGTCTCCACCAATCGTCTCCTTTGGGCAGGGGACAAGGCGGTGACGTGGGCTGGAGGTAAGCCCCAGTAGTGGTACTGGAGGGGGCAATCAGACAGCAGAGGAAGCAGTCAATTGGCAGCGAAGAGAGATGGCTGAGCATGCCAGTGCAGTAACTCACAAGTGAGCCAGCGGTCGTCTCCTTCGGGCAGGGGACAAGGCGGCAACGTGAGCTAGAGATAAGCCCTGGCAGTGGTGCTGGAGGGGGCAATCGGACAGCGGAGGCAGCAGTCAATTGGCAGCCATGAGAGGTTGCTGAGCACGGCTGCTCCTCCACCTCAGTCTCCTGCTGCCGCCTTCCGTGTATAAAATGACCCTCAATTTTTCTTCTAATTATTTTAGGAAAAAGTGTCATTTTATACATGGAAAAATACGGTAATTGTTGTTGCTGCTGCCCCACTACATGATTGTTGTTGCAATCCAGTGTGTGTGTGGTGTAACATGAAGTGTTGTCTGCCTGTGCTCTGGTGTAGTTGGCTTGGGTCATTGTTGTTGCTACTGCCCCACTACATGATTGTTGTTGGAATCCAGTATTTGTGGTGTAACATGAAGTGTTGTCTAGCCTTGATGAGGTGATCTGCTGACTGTGAGTGTGTGCGTCTCTCCTATCCCTGTATTGATCATTCTTTCAGTTTTTCATACCTCCCCACAATCTGTAAACGATCTATTTTCCAGGACTCGGGTTCCAAGAAGTTTTTTTTTTAATGGGAATCTTAATTGTTGTTGCACCTACTGTAACTCCAGAGTTTTGTAACTTAATATCTGGCATACTGCCACAAGAAAAATAACGTCATTGTTATGACTAACATTTCTACAGAACTTGGAGCAACAAAAGGCCACAGCATAAAAGATCTGGATGTTCTCCATACCTCTAAATTTCTCCATGGTTTCTTCATTGCAGAGGATTCCTCTTGGACAATTGGCTGCATATATTGCTGCGGCCTCATACTGACCACGTGAAAACAGTTCATTGAACCTAGCACAGATGAAAGAATTTAAGTCTTCTAAGTAATAGACACTGGGCACCAGAACAATTCCAAGCTTAGTAATGGGTAAAATAATGTCATTGTTATGACTAAAACTTTTAAAACCAGGCCTAGCTTTGCAGTCTAGTTAACAACACAGAGATCAAATAGGAGCAGAACTTTGAAAAGTTACTTCTTTGGACTTCAGCAAGCAGAGTTCCCTAACTTGCATGGCAGGCTGGGAAATTCTGTATATAACTTTTTCTACTAACGTCTCCAATCTGACTCTGAGCTATAGGAAAACGCGTTTCTCTACAGTTTTAAGGGCAGCAGGACAGCCGAAAGGCCGAGTTAACTACTTCTTTTTCTTTTCCTTCCCTCAAAAGTGGGAACAGATTGTGAAGTAAGAAGGCTATGCAATAGCGAGTCCTGTTTCCTATGCAAGCTACCTCATCTGGAAGGGTGATTCAGACCAATCCTCATTCTTACATTAAAGACTCCTCCCATCACCTTACCTTTCAATGTACTCAATGAGATCTTCAGCCTCTTTGCTCTTGGTAGGGTCGCGTTCAAATACATTTGAGACGCTGGCCGCCACTGCACCTGAAAAGGTTTAAATCCATTCAGAGGAAGCTTATGTTAGATGACAGGAATGGACAGCTTTGGCTCTCCAGATCTTTTGGACTACAGGTCCCATAATCCCTTACCATTGGCCATGCCGGGCAGGACTGATGGGACTTGTAGGTCAAAATATCTGGAAGGCCAAAAGTTTCCCATCCCTGCGTTATGCTCTTAAAGAACAGAACCAACAGCCATTGTAGCCAAACCAATAACTGACGGGAGCCTTACAGAGGCATGTTTTTGCTAGAAATTTACCTGAGTTTTAAGGTGCAGAGAACCTGACACGTCGAGTAGTCATGGGGGGAGGGAATAGAATGGAGCAGGTGTGATTGGTTACTAAGGTGACAGTCAAGTTAAGACAATTGAAGCAGACAGATGCAAAGAGGAGTTGGGATTAGGTGGCTGAGAAAAACAGCTGAATTGTCATCTTTTTTCTGAAATACATGTGCTATTGATAGCAATTGCCAAACCGAGCTGCCCAAGTACCTTTTGTTTTGAGATTTTATTGTTTTCATTTTCAATGAGATTATCTGTTCTCATTACATAAAGTCTGAAAAATATTGCTATTTTTAAACAGAGCCTGTGTAGGAAAGGTTTGAATACACCTCTAGATCTCTTCTAATGCCACATTTCGTTATATAAATGACAGGTCTTAAAGCCCCCCCCCCCAAAAAAAATCATGAGAATAATAATTTGGCAATGGTGCCAAGAATTCTGTTACAGAACCCCAGTCAACACAAGTGGCCTACAATTCCTAGGATTCCCCAGGAGAAGGAATGCCTGCTACAGCTGGGGTGTCGTAGATGTGTCCAAAGATATCAGTAATTGCATACACTTGGATTGTTTCATCACAGGGGTCTCAAGGGACAATATATTTGGAAGTGGTTTACCATTGCTTTCTTCTGTGCAGTCCTAACAAAAGCAGGATGGTGGTTGAATATTAAGACAACAAAAATCACGATTACAGAAGGATTACATAACATTGTTGTTGACAATGAAGAAAATTGGAATTGTTAAAGGTTATTTTTTATATCTCAGTTCCATTGTTCATCCAAAGGGAGACTGCAGCCAAAAAATAAGATTAAGGCCGAGACTCAAAAGAGCCGCAGTAAAGGTATTCAGGTATAAGGATGCATCCCTGGAGATCAGAGCCAAGATTATTTATACTATAATATCCCCAATTATTTTGTTCAGATATGAAAACTTGGCATTGAGGAAAGCTGACAAGGAAAAAAAAAGACTAAATTCATTTGAAAGACCTTCTGGACATCATGGACGGACAGAAAGACACGTAAGTGGGTCCCTGATGAAAGCCTCGACTCTTCCTACAAGTAAAAATAAGCCTTCGCGAATACAAAAATAAGCAAACTTAAACCTCGACTCTTCCTACAAGTAAAAATAAGCAAACTTAAAGCTGTTATGCTTTGGGCACATTGTGAGAAGAGAAGGTTCACAGGAAAAGAGAGCAATGTTGGAAAAAGCTGAAAGCTGCAGGAAAAGAGGAAAACCAAATATGAGATAGATTGACTGTATAAAGCAAGTTTGATCTTGCAAGACTGTAGCAAGGTTGTTACTGACAGGGCCTTCTGGAGGTCACCACATCATAGGATCACTATGTACTACACATAAATTTACAGGATATATCAAGAACAGTTGAATGTTGTGTGTACCATTGAAGCTGAGCTTTGAATGTTATTTTTAAAAGGAATTTGATGGATTATTCATTACTTCTTAGCAGTTAGTTGATGTCATGGCAAGAAAAAAATGGTGGGAAAGGCTTTTCCCTCTAGTGGCCAGTTCAGGCATTGCACATCACAACAATTTACCAAAATACAGTACAGAAGACAACAGAAAATTAAGGGGGTACAGTGGAATGGAGAGAATTGACCGATGGAAGCCCTGTTGTCAAATGGGAAGCAAGACAGGCAAGTTTAGGATGATGCAGGAAAGAAATCCAAGCTGAAGTGCTAGTTTTGCAATGGTGCTTATTTATATTTATTATTTATCAGTTGCATTTATATCTTGCATTTTCTTAGATGAGCCCAAGGCTTATAAAGCTGTAACTGTATATATTCCTATTTATTTCTGGGCTATATTACATATCTTATTTTTCCTCCAGTTATCTCAGGATGATAACAGATATGATCCTTCTTTTCCCAATGTTCTCCTTCTAAGAACCCAACAGAAGTTAGGATGAGAGAGTTTTATGTCTCAGTGGAGACATGAACCTAGAATCTGGATCTCTTCCATCCCAGTCACTACATAACCTGGCTCTCCACAGATTTGATTACTTCAGCGTGCATCACACATATTATTGCCGTTGGTTTGCTGCAAAATGGTGAAATTTGAACCTATAGTATCTTTTACCTTTTGAAAACTTCTCATTTTCTATCATTTGAGAGACAAGCTGCTGCAAAGTTTCAACACTCCTGTCAGAGGTCTCCCAGACAGCCACGACATTTGCAAACTGCGATAGTTGGTAATAGCTACAAAGAGGAGAATGCTATGTCAATATGGCTGGCTGACCATTGGACTTTGCTTCGCTCCCCAGTAGAGATGGTCATGAACCCATTTGTCCCAGTTCATAAAGGTAGCAGCACAGGTGGTGGTGCTGGTCCCCTCCTTGCTGATTCATCCACTCACTGGGCCCAGCTTGCCTACTCTGATCAGCAAGAGCTGTTTAATATTTGAGGGAAGCCTGTTCCACCATGCTGGTGCAATTGCACAACTACTAATTGATGACTTCCAAGTCATTACTGCGTGGGCTCTTTACAGTAGTGGTCCCCAACCTTGTGCCTCCAGATGTTCTTGGCCTTCAATTCCCAGAAGCCTTCACTAGCACCTCTGCCGGCCAGGATTTCTGGAAGTTGAAGTCCAAGAACATCTGGAGACCCAAGGTTGGGGACCACTGCTTTCCAGAGATGCTGGAGGACAAACCTTGATGTGCTAGAATCACAAGGTGTAAAACTGAACTTTGGGCGTTTCCCATCCAGTGGAATGAGACTGGCCATGTTCCAAGTGAGAGCTAATTGCCCTCTGTTTGATACTTGCCTCCCTGGCTGGTTCCAGGGGTCAAACACAGAACTTTATATATCCCACCCCAAGGATTCAGTATTAAGTGACATTTCCTTCAAAGTGGAGCCAACAATTCCCAGCTTTTGTCACTAGTACCCAAGCCGCAGGGGTCTGAAGGGACTTGAAAGTTCAAATCGTTTGGAGGCGCCAGGTTGCGAAAGCCTGGACTAAGCCCTGACCCCATTCCGATGCAAGAAGACACGGCTATCTTGCTGCAGCAGCTCATTGGGATGGAGAGGTGAAAGAAAAGCCTGAAGAGTCTGTTTTATAAAAAGGGTAAACACACTGGGGTACCAAAACTTTAGGTCTTCATTCTCTTTTTCTGCTGCATTTCGCAGGGAGAGGGCCCGTTTCAGGTCCTCGTCCACATGGGCCGTGTTCTCCAGAGGAATATATTTTGTCAGCATGTCCTCTTTCAGTTCCTTGGCCCGCTTCTGTAGATGAGCAAGATGATTAGAAAGAGCGTTGATGTCAAGGGAATCTTTCAGGCTGAGACCTGTTGAGGTAATGAAGAGGAAAGCTACTGGCCACCAGACAACTGTAATGCATTACAGCCAGGTAACCATGTTATTTATACAGTTTGTTTGCTTATTTAAATTATTTATAGGCCACCTTTCTCCCCATAGGGGACCCAAAGTGGCTCACAACAGCTATGCCACAATCAACAGTTTTTAAATACCATATTAAAAACATTTTTATAATAATTATAAAATAAAATGAAACTTATCTATGGCATCTCATATTAGGCCTATTTTTTTTCCTGATGCTTTCTACCTTCCTAGCAGTTTTGTCTTTTCCAATAAGCACTGTCTTCTTGTGGTATGTCCACAATACCATAATCTCATTAGTCATTTCAGCGTGGGCATTGTTGACCCCAAAATAACCTTTTGGGGTCATGATCATTATTACAATAGGAGAGACAGGGAACGTTTAATCACCTAGACGTCTTAACTTACTACTGCCTTAAGTCTGGCCCACCATGGTTGACAAGAAGTGGTGGAGGTTCTACTTTAAGACATCTGGACAAGCCAAAGATTCTCCACCCGTGCTTTAAAGCCAACTGAGCCTTCTGAACTTTTGTGGTGCAAAAATTAGGAAGAAGCCACAGTACAGTGGTAGAGTACAGGCTTGGGGTTCTCAAGGTGGTCCCAGGATCAGTCTGATACCTCCAGTTTAAGAGCTTCTCAGCTGCCAGATCTGAAAATGATCTCGTTCCCTCTTTCTCTTTTTGCTGGAACTTTGGAGGGCTACTCCCAGCTGAACATACAAATACAGCGGTGCCTCGACTTACAAACATCCTGACATACGACCATTTTGAGTCGCAACCAGCTCCGGCTGCAAAATTTTGCTTCGACTTGCGGCCAGAAAAAGGCAGAGAAAAAAGGTGGGGAATTCAGATTTGCTAACTGTTGGTAAGCAAAGAGGCTGCTTTTTTGCAGCTCTTTCGTCCCAGCAGTTAAAGAGTGTGTGATCAGAGGAGGCTTAGGACTGCCTGGAGCTGCTTTCTGCTCCTGAGTAAGTACTGTACATTTACTGTTTTACAGGGTGGGTTTGGGGTTTTTTTTCCAGGGGGGGGTTATGTTTCTGTGTTGTGATGTTTTTTGCCCAGCCCCATCGTGTTCTGATGGGGCTGGCTGGTTTTTTGTTTTTGTTTTGGTTATTTTAAACTGCCTCATGGTCTGAGTTAAAACTCGGTGGGTTCCAGCAGCTGGCTAAAGGTTGACTTAGCCTTTCATCCTTCTGCCCTTTGTAAAATTAGGGGAGGGGGGCAGAATGTTGTTTGCTTAATTATGTTGTAAAATGCCCAGAGAGTGCTTTAGCACAAACTTTATTTCAGTTTAATTATTACTTTTGAATTTGTATCATTTTAAAAAGGAGACATGTTGTTTTCAAAGTCAAGCAAGACAGTGAACTATATAGTTTTCTACTATGAAAATCAGTGGAGCATAAAAAGTACAAAAGTATGACTGGTCATGCTCCAAATTCAAAAGAAACGGTTTCTATATTAATAGACACTTAAATCTCACCTGGAATTCTCTGAGCTGGGTTGATTTTCATGCTTGGAGTCGAAGACTGCTGTGCAGAAAGTGTAACCCTTAAAGTCCTTATTTTCTTTATTAAGTTCTCAATTCTTGCAGAGTTTTTCTCAATTCTTTTCACCCTTGAAAAAAAAGGAGAGCCATTTAAGATTCACTCTTAAAAATTCCAGCTTTTCCAGAAGTTCACCAAAGAAAGGCTGAGATCTAAATGTAGTTTAGATCCCTTGCTTATTTTTAGTAGATCAGCAAGGTTTTTGACTCATTGCCTACTGACAACCAATCAGATTCTACTGACTTGAGTCCCAAAAGTTACTTAAAAAGAAGCAGTATTGGGAGGAAAACCAGGACAAGGAATAGATCAGTACACAAAATAACATAATGAGCTTGCTTCTGGTATATCACAAATTCTTTGACTAATTGTAAAAGTTGGAAAAAAAAACATCAAAATGCATCTAAAAGTGGTTTATAGTTAGTTTAAATAGTTATTTGTGAAAATACCTAGGTATTTCTCTTTATGCACAACATAACAGTTGCTTGATTTTAATGAAAAGTAACATTATAAATACTTTTTAATAATTAGCAGTTACAACATTATTTTTAGCGATGTTATAATTAAACTTCTTTACTGCCAAACTGGTTCGCCTTAAGTTCACTGGCTGTGTGGTGGCAGGTAGGCAGTGTCACGAGCAAAATTCCTCATTGGTGTACTGTGGTTTTTAGTTGAATTATGTATTTTTCAAATCTCATCCAGCCCATTACATTATAGACTTTTCCAAAAATAAACGTTGATGATTTTTGCCCACCTCAAAATAATTAAAACAGTCAAAGAAGTGCTTACTTCTCCTCCAGTTGAACAATTCTCTTCTTATAATACATGAGAGTGGAAGGTTCACATGCTAACATTTTTAATTTTCCATGAAGATGAAATGCATTCCATTGGCCCTTCTTTAACACTTCTATGAAGGCATCATACTCCTGTTTGATGGTTGTCAAGATATTCTTGTATGCATTGACATGCTCAATTATCTGTGCCAACAATACAGAGGTTATTTAAAATCAAAAAGGCACAGTAAGTACTGAAGAGATTTTCCAATTTGTTTCCTAGTGAAGGGGAAACTGAAAGCCCCCAAAGCCCCGTGGTTTACAGAAGTCTAACATGTTATTTTAACACTGATTTTAAGCAGGAAAATCAATTTCTACACCCAGGACACAGCAATTCACTCTACCCTAGATCTTGAAAAATAAAACATGCTTAGCAGTGCTCAATTACCATCTCAAACACATTTCTGTATATTGTGTAATATTCTTCAGCTGGTCCTTGCTCGGTACAGCCCACTTTCTCAATTTCTGAAATGATGTAACTTTGGATGCTGTCCAGAAATTCCTTCTCAGTCTCGGGGAGGATTGGAGGCAATACTGAATGTCTGTTTGCTGTCACATGAGCTGCCTTCATGTTGAAGAAGCCTACTAAATGTGCCTTGTAGACAACAGATAAAATACTTGTAGCATCTTTTGGCTGAATGACATGCTTCAACCGAAACCTGGAAGAAAATCTCACATTGTGGTAATCATTAGGAGCTCATCTAACTATGCAATACTGTAAACACAAACCTTGCTGTACTCAGTTCAGAAACTTCATTGGAATTTAGTCCCAGCTAATATGCATTTGGACTGATGTGTAAAGCTCCTTCCCGTTTAGACTACCTGCACTGAATTTGGCATGACATACAGTAAGAGACCTAGTGCTTTAGACTACCTGCACTGAATTTGGCATGATATAAGAGACCTAGTATAAAACAGCAAAGTGCAGCATAATTCTTTACACTGGCACAAAGGTAAGTACTACACTAAGTGCATAGAGACTCACTGCTAGGAAGGCATATTTAAGGCTGTAATAAAAGACTGAGTTATAAGCAAAGAACAAGACATTTTCAAACCCAGTGTCAAGGGGCTGAAGGGACCTCTATATTTAGTTTTCGGCATGTCATATGGGCAGCAATATTTAGTCACTAAAAATGGAGCTATTATTTTTCTGTGTCTACTGACAGGAAAGGAAGAAACAAGTAATGTTAGTCTTTTGCGGTGGTGGGGATCAAAAGAGTCTGTAGTATTTAAAGACATTTTCGTATCCAATAAGCGTGCATCTAATGAAGTGGGCTATACTCCACAAAAGCTTATTGTGCCAGGCTAAACATGTTAGCATTTAATATGCCACAAACCTCTTTTGTCATTTTTTCAACACAAGACTCTGAAACCTTAACAAGTCGATAATTTTATTAGGCCAATCAAAGGGCCATAAAAATGGTGCAAAATGTTAAAATCCTTGGTTCCCTTTATCAGACGTTACTAAAAGAAAGTCGGAAAGAAAAATCCTTACTGAGTTTTTTTCCCCGTTTGCCTGTGGCTTTGGGATCCTTGGTAAGCAGAAAACCCATAAATACGTTAAGAAATCAGATCAGTAACTTTCTTTCTGGGGTCCTGAGAGCTAAAGGAGATTGGACGGGGCTCTGCAGCCTTTCAAACTAGGCTCTAGATGGGATGGTGGGACGGTCCCACTTTTTATCTGGAAAAATATTCGAGGAGAGGAAGGCAGAAAAGCTTCAGTCTCCGTTTAGGGGGAAAAACTTAAAACCTCTCTAAATTCAGAATTATCTCCAAAGCAAGCAAAGCTTACACGTCCCTTTAGGGGTGCAAAACAGAAAACAACGAGAAAGTCTTCGCATTAAGATAGCTGGGCCTGATTCTAGAAGCTGCGATCCGCTTTCTTTAAAAAGGTCATTAAATCCCAAACCACAGCTTTATCACCTTCGCCAAGCTGGGGCCTGGCGAACCCCTTGGGGTCCCTTTCCCTCCGCGGAAACCAACCGTTGCTAGTGGCAACCAAGTAAAATCCATCCTAGGAGGTAAGGGCGGGGGGAGGAAGAAGGCCGTCGCGGTGCACGATGGGAAGCATTGCTTCCTTGCCGCCTTCTCTCTTTATCGGCCGGCCGCCTCACTTTCGGCCTACAACTCCCGACAGGCCTTTCGGCAGCTGTTCTTCGGGCGGCGCCGCTCTCCTAGGGCGCGCTCGGGGGTTCAAACTACTACTCCCGTCATGCCTCACAAATCCTTTTGGGTTTTGGAGGCTTGCCGGGATTGGTGATCTTTCCGGGGAAGCGGAGCCAGGCCCTTCCCCTTCCTTTCCTTCCACGCTTGGAAACCCCGTGCGCGAGGAAGCAGGCCCTCTTTCCGGCGTCCGCCATTACGCGAGGCGGTGTGAGGTGAGTGCCCGCTCCGTTCCGAGCCGCTCTTTTTCTTCTCGGGGGTGGGGTGGCGGGGTGCTTCTTTGCGGCCTGGCCTTGGCCTGCACCCCTCGCTCCGCGCGGCTAATGGCCTCTTTGTTTTCTCCTCAGGTGCAGAGCCGCCACCGCCACCATGCAGATTTTCGTGAAAACCCTGACGGGGAAGACCATCACCCTCGAGGTGAGGGAGAAAGGAAGGCAAAGCCGGGGGACCACGAGGCCCCTCCAGGCCGAGGCGGTTGAGCGGGAGGCCCCGAGCCGTTTCTTTTCTCTGGGAAGGCCCTTTCGCTTCCGGCTCTTGTTCCCCCTTGCCGCTTTCCTTTGTCTTTGGGATGTGTCACTTGTGAGGGAAAGCCGGCCCTTGAGGTGCTCTTGCGAACGCGAGGCGAGGCATCGCCCAGCTTGGGCCTTTTATTACTCCCCCCCCTTGAGGAGGGGGAGCAATAAAAGGGGAGCCGTCGGGACGCTCGAAGCGCTGAGGTGCGGAGCACGGCTTCATATTTGCAGGGGGAGCAGGATGGGGCCGAAGGAGAGCCCTGGGGCGGGGGCGGCAGCAGCAGCGTGTAAAGCTACGCCTGGGGGGGTGGGGAGTGCTCGGTTTTTTGACCGAAAACCTCGAAGCCTAGCCTGTGTGATGGCGTAAGAACGTCAGGGTGCTTAGTTGACCAAAGGAGGTGCAGTGGCAAATAATAATAATACTGTAAATACTTGCCATCCTGTTGATTTTGACGTCTTAAGCATAGAGTTCTGGGAAGTGGTTTAACCCTTCCCTTTTTCTGGGACTGTGCAGCTTGCCCAAGGCCACCCAGGCTGGCTGGAATCAGGGGAAGCACAAGGGGGGATTGTACTCCCAATTTCTGGCTCTGCGGCCAGATGCCTGCTTTCCTGAGCTTTTCAGCTGGGGGAGAGAGAAAAAAGGAGACTTATTAGTTCAGGTCATCACTCTGACTATGCAGGTAAAAAAACGAAACCATAATGGGAAGGGTACAGGTTCCCTCTGCTGTTGTTCACCTCTGGGTGTTGTTCAGAGCCATGCTACCTTGACAGACCCAAACCAGGCTAGCGTTACCCACTATTTTATCTTTATGGTGGGAAACTTTTTTAGTTTCTTGTTAAAGAAACAGGATGTTGTAGCAAGAGATACTCTGGGGGCTATAGTCAGTGGCAAGGGATGTTGAGACAATTCCAACACAATATTTGACCCGTTTCCTGTATATACTCATATCTTTTGATCCTGTCAATGAATTAAAAAGGAAATAGATTTAAATCAAATTCAGTCTCGTTTCACTTCAGTTATCTGTTTCCCTGCATTTATTGCATCCATAATAAATTATCCATGGCTTCTAATTAACTTGGTAACATTCAAGCCAGATGTTTTAGAACAGTGGATGCATATTAATTCAGTGTCACGTGTATGACTGAAAAGTGTGTCTAGATACCGTTAAAAGTGTAGAATATGAACACAACTGTAGACAGTATTGAATTACATTGTAAGTTGTTTGATAGCATTTTTATTTGAAAGACTGAGTTGTATGGTTTTTCTGAGAATCCAGCAATGTGTACTGCAAGAAGTACTTCAAGATGAAATTGGTGCATGTCATATATGTGAAATATGAGGCTGTAGGCCTATACTGTTTTGTAGTGAGTACCAGGAAGTAGGAGTTCCAAATCCCTGCATTCTGGGAGGGGACGAGTATAGAGATGTAAAAATTCCATTTTCCTCTGGGGAAAATTGTATATATGCAAAGTTATCTAGCCTGGGTTGACTGAGAAATAGAACATTTCATGTTTTTCTGGGAGAAAACATTTTTCCCTGTTTTTTTTTTTCTGGAAAAAATAGAAATACTGGAAATTTTACATTTGCTTGAGCTTCTGTGGCAGATGGGGATATGTGTCCTGCAGCCTGTGCATTCTTTGGTAGGCTGGCTGCTCACAGAATGCCATGAGAAGAGAGATCAGTAAATCATTTCTGAATAGACATAAGACATAAGAAATTTATTTGTCATTGCGCTCACAAGTGGGTGCAACGAAATGAGGTGCTCTTCCCCAAGGTAAAACTGGATAGTTCATATCTAGAAAATCCTAGGTCACTGTGTGTCAGAATTGACTTGAGACATAGTTATTACTATCCTTTCATCCTTGCATAGGTGAAGTATGTATTTTATAACCATTTTGACTCTAGTTTGAGTAATATCTGTAATGGTTTCTGATTGTGACAGGTTGAACCGTCGGATACCATAGAAAATGTCAAAGCCAAGATCCAGGATAAAGAAGGTGGGTGTTGCTGTACTTGTGGAGTGGCTATGTTTTTGATATTATTCTGCTATAAAATAAAAGCATTTTGGAGAAGGAAACTTGGTTACCTTGCAAATTCACTTATCTGTGAGATTTGCTGAACTTGTTGAGATTACAATTGGATGGCAGAATTATATATTTACTTGTTGGCAAAAGACATAGATCATTTGGAAGTGAGAATTCTAAAGGACTGAAAAGAAAAAGATAAAAAATATTTGCTTTTTTGGAGAGAAAAAATGGGTCAAATTCTCTTGATGGTTTGTTTCATAAATATTTAGAGGCAATGTTGGTAGTTGTATTAATGGGAGGCACATGTATTGCAGTGGTAATGTTTAATCTGCAAGAACAGGAAATGGGAAAAATGAAAAACAAGCCAGGTTTAGTTTACAGCACAAGGACCAGAAAGTCAGTGTAGTGTAATGCATAGCGAGGTAGACCTGGATTCAAATTCCTGCTCAACCATGGATACTACACTGAAGTGGGCAGTGGGGAAAACAGTTCTTAAATATCTGACCTTGAAAATATATTAGGGTCACCATAAGTAAGATGTGATTTAATAGTATATAACAAGAAAGAAGTGCTAGAATCTCAAGTCCTGTTGAATCCTTGAAATTTCTATAAATTACCGACCTTAGTAAGAATTTCCAAGGTATATGAGATATTTAAGGAGTGTTTTTATCATTGCCAACCCTACTGATTTTCTATAGCTGACAGCAGATAAGCAATCAGGTCTCCTGCTCCATCAGACAACAGTTGATCAATAGGATTAAGAACACCAGATTTAATACATATATTCTGAGTTCCTTATGTAGCGCTAACTATGGAAAGGGTATGTGCATATTTACTTCATTGCTTGTGAAAAGGGTTTTTTGTGTTTTTACTACATTTCATCTCCAAGGATGCCATAGGAACTGGCTCACAAGGACAATTTGGTGTGTTCTGGAGGGAATTAAGAAAAGAATCTACTTTGATGTAGATGCACATGTGGAATGTTATGTGCAGATCTGGATTTTATCTACGCATTTTTAATAGCAGTTTGGTCCTGTTTGAACTGCTGTGGGATTTTTCTTTTTTTGTTGGCATGCACAAAGAGGTTAAGTATCTGCTGTTAATTATAGTGTTGATACATTCCTAGTTTATTTGTTGTGCTTCTAAATTGATATAAGTACTGTAGTTACAACAAAAAAAACTTAATGGAGTCACAAATGGGAAACCATGTTTAATGCGTTCCAATGGGTTTTTACGTTCCGTTCAACGATGCTTTCACACAGCGAGGGTTAATCCGGAACGGATTAACCTCGCTGTGCGAGGCACCACTGTACTGTAGTTACAACAAAAGAAACTTAATGGAGTCACAAATGGAGTTGGAAGTTTGTAACTGTTCAGCATTCTGCACGACCAGCAAAATTATTCTATATTGAAACTGGTTGCACCCAGCTTTTAAGATGAGACATCTCACAGTACATTATTGGCTGTGGTGTACTTTAATATTTTTTCACTGCTGCAGGAGCAGTATAATATCTTGGCTGTCCAAAAACAAATCTTACTCTACCATTTTTTCCCTACTAGGAATTCCTCCTGACCAACAGCGTCTGATTTTTGCTGGTAAACAGCTGGAAGATGGCCGCACTCTGTCTGATTATAACATTCAAAAGGTATCAGTTGTTTACGTAATGAAATGCACAATGACGTCCTAAACTATTAACATACCAATGTGTACCATAACTTTCTGCTGTGAGGTTGACAGTTGCTGCTTCCAGTAGACAGAGCAAAGGTTGGAAAGAGCACGAGGCATTATGTGCTTTATCAATAGGATGTTAATTGTTTGTGGCTTTTTCTGTTTAAAGATAGGAGGCCTTACAAAAAGATGTTTTATTCCTTCTTGCATTAAACTTTTTAAAATCTTTCACTGGGACACAAGTAGAAAAATCAAATTAGAGGCTTGGCTTTTTATATAGTTGTGTGTACATAGAGCATTGCAAATTTTGACATATTGCACATAGTACAGCATTACTGGCCCCCAGTATTGCCTGTTGTTCCGATCAACAAATATGGAATGACTTTAGTAGTTATAAATTTGAGAAGTGTGATCACTGCAGCTGTATATGGCAGGACATGACAATTTTTTCCAGTCTGAGTAGGTGCGGGTTGTGAGTAGATTCTGATCTGTTGCTAGACCACTTTGTGGTTGAGTTGCAGTTGATCCCCAGAGGCTTCTGAGTCTTATACTGTAGTTCAGTGTTGGCCAGATAAAACAGAAAATAGTTTATATTGGTTTAATCATTTTTAAGTGTCTGTATTCTATAAATTGAGAAGTTAAGTATTAACTGGTTGCCTTTTACAGGTTTTACTGACCAATTTGATTAATAGACCTTTGGGATTCTAGTAAAAAGAACCAAAAACAGATCTTACAAGCCTGTTGCGTGTTCATCCCAAATTACAGCATTAGCATTTAATGTTCTGCCAGTATTTAATATTTAAGTGCTGGTTATTGTCAGCTCAACAACCCAAAGAAAGTTTCAGGACTAAGTAGACTATATTGTGATTTCCTGTGTCTAGCAGAACACAGTTGCCAAATATTGAATGTCTTTTTCTTACGCTTGTTAAAAACAGGAGTCTACCCTTCACCTTGTGCTGAGACTTCGTGGTGGTGCAAAGAAGAGAAAGAAGAAGTCTTACACCACACCTAAGAAGAACAAGCATAAGAGAAAGAAGGTGAAACTTGCTGTCCTTAAATACTACAAGGTAAGAGCATCTTCAGTACAAAAAACACCTTTTCCTAGTATCCTGTTTGATCTTAACTGCTCAAAAATTGATTATTGTTTCCAGGAGGGAAATTCACTTTGAATTAGAAAATTTGTGGTTTGTGTAACTGAATGCTGAACATTGAGAGGAGCAAATGCACAGTAAGCTGGTTATAGAGTTATTACAGTCCACATTTGCTGGACGTATTCTAGCCTTTGAATTGAGGGGAGAGATTCAGACTTGTAGAGTCTCTGCTCTTGATTCTTCAATCAGGTTTTCTGCATTCAGCTGAAAAACAGCTGTTGGAGATGAATTAATGCAGGAACAGCTGATTACTACTCTATACTAATGGATACTGTGGGGGCATGGACAGCCTAGGATAGTTATTTCCTGTAGGAAATTCCCTAAACATAACTCCCTCCCCTTGGTGGGTCTGAAGTCTAAGGAATAGCATATCCTAGCCTCATTGGAAATGTGGTTGTTTTACATACTGTAGGCTGTGGTCATTCCGGCTTGTAGATGAGATGGGAGGATAGTGCTGCAGTTTACTGAGCCTTTTCTTTCGCAGGTGGATGAGAATGGCAAAATCAGTCGCCTGCGGCGTGAGTGTCCAGAAGCCTTCACCACCAGCTGTCCTGACTGGGGTTTCTGGGAGTTGCAGTTCAAAAGCATCCGAGTAACAAAGGTTAAGAACCACTGCTGTAGGCTGTGGTCATTCTGGCTTGTAGATGAGATGGGAGGATAGTGCTGCAGTTTACTGAGCCTTTTCTTTCGCAGGTGGATGAGAATGGCAAAATCAGTCGCCTGCGGCGTGAGTGTCCCTCAGAAGAATGTGGGGCTGGAGTGTTCATGGCTAGCCACTTTGACAGGCATTACTGCGGCAAGTGCTGCTTGACATATTGCTTCAACAAACCAGAAGACAAGTAAATGTCTATTGTAATAAAAAATATTTGAATCTACATACTGTTGTGCTTGCCTTATTATATGCGTTTTTAAACAAGCGTGTGAAAATGTAGCTGAACTACAGATTTTTTGGTGACATGGGCGGGTTTAATTTTTTTTTATGAGAGGCTTTGTTTTTGTAAGGAATCAAATATTGCTGATGGGAAGGATACAAGTGATGAAGAAATGGCGTCGGCAGTGTCATGGGTGGAGTAATTACTGTACCAATAATGGTCTATACCAATTCCTAGTCCCTAGGGACTGATGAATGGTACGTCTGCATATCAATCTCAATTCAGTGGGCCTGTTCCAGATGAGATTAGTAGTTTGATCTATGCCGCTGGCAAGAACTGATAAAACTGTCCAGTGTGAGTTATTCAGATACCACAAATCAGGGAGTATTAAATCTTTAATTTCTAAGTAACTTCAAGACTGTGAAAATGCCTAGATTATACTAGGGAGACAAATGGCCCATTTTATATGACAAATGTGTAGGCAGTGTTTGTATGGTTAAAGTTTCCACTACAGATCACGGGGAAAAATACATGTATTTGTGTCAGCCCCAATTCTACATTGAAAAGCCAACATTCTGAAATTCTCACCGTCTTTAACTCTTTGGTAAGAAGGGACAAAGAATCCATCATTTCAGAAAAGACGTTTTTGAAGACATAAATTGAGGTGGTCTGAAATTGTGTGTCACATGGTGTATAGCAACTTCGATAGGCTAGAAATAATCTGGAGCCTACCAGTGTTCCTTTCTGAAGGTGATGGATGTTCTTGCTGATCAAAAGTAATGGGGTTTCCTAGTTTGATAGTTTTAGTTACACTCTAGAAAGTGGGATGATGATTCCATTACTTAGATAATGAATTTAATGAGCCATGTCTTTTCTAGCATTGCCATGTCTATAGGACAAGAGAAGGAAGCTGCCGTAAAGAAGCCAGTAGTTCTTGTTGTCACACTGGGACAAGCTTACAGAAAACTTTATGAATTACATAGCAACAGGAGAGAGTATTCTGCAATCTGTTGCATCTGACAAATATTGAACAAAAAATTGTCACTTTACTACTTTGTTTCCTAAAACGTAGCAATGTTGCATCTGATGGTTCTGTCCTTGTCCTTTGGGAACACAATAAACTAAGTATGCAGAATAAACCAAAGATGGATACATTCTGGATCCGCCTTTTTATAGAAATGATCGTCTGTCATCCAATTCTTACATAAACAAGCAAGACACAAAAGAGAAAACAAATACTCAAAGTTAGCTTCCAGAAAGGCAAGTGCCAATATAGGAATTCCTGAGAAACATGTATGTAGTTTGTAACATGAATGTGTGCCATTTATGTTCCCTAACTCATGAAAAAGTGCTGGTCGGTATTTTGAAATTCAGAAATAACACATTCCAAAAGCAGGGGGCATGCCATCTGGTTTCAACCATGGAAGAACTTGTTTGCTGCCTCAGTGTCCACCTGTGCTTTCAGTCTGTAATCTTGAATAAAACCTTTGAAGTTATGACTCGTGGTATGACAGAGACAGCTGCTCCATGTTCCTAGTTAGCCAAAATGGAGACATATATTTCACATGCCCGGTAATAAATTCTAATTTTCAGGGTTTTATTTCCATAATCTTCCTGTTGTGGTACATAAAAAAAATCTTCATCAGTCCAAGCACTTGTTCCAATGTCCCATTGTTTCACAATGTAGGTTCTATGAAGATCTTGCTTTCCATTCTAGTTTTTTCCCATTAAAGTTAGGGATTAGCTATATAAAATGAGGCCCTTTGTATTTTTACATGCAGCTGTTTAGCAGAATGCTTTGTACATCGACAATAGGAAATGTAGTTGTAGTTCACTTTTTAGTCTATTGCATCTTTCTATAGCCACAATTTAAAATCCTGGATCCCAAGAAATCTTCTGCTTGATTTTTTCGCCAGTGAAACAAACAATCTCGTCTCCAACTTCAAACTTGATGTCACCGTCCACGCTAAGTCCACATTCCATACCCATCTTGATTTCAAGGACATCATCTTTATGATGTTTCAGTGATGTCAAAGATCCTATATAACAACAATAAACAAGAACTTCATCGTGTGTAAATTAGAGGTGACAGACATTTACAAGGAGCAGAGCTGTTCAAGTTCAAAGCCATTATCAATAATATATTATTGATATTTGGTAATCCCAATTATTGGACATGTCACTTCAGATTATTTCATGTGCAAAATGAAGCATCAGGTAGGGCAAACTGCTAGAGCATTCTCCAGGCTAAATGTCCCAGTGGGAGAAATCTGAAAGCCCAAAATTTAGGGTCTAGAATTTATGAAATCTGCACCTGTGAATAAACTCATTTCAACAGACTGGGTATAACATAGAAGACAAGAAATACCATCTAGAACCACAGTGTCCTTAACAACATAACAAAGTTGAATCCCAAAAGTTAACTGTCTCATAAGGGAACTTCTTTAACTTACCACTCCAAATAACTTTACCATTACGGATTAATTTAAACTTCATATTTCGGTTGAGGTATCCTTTCAGTACTCTACAGCCAGCTACTGGAACTTTACTTTTTCCTAGTGTGACGTCAAATGTTGCTAAAACAGAAGCATGTCCTAAGGAAAATAAAGAAACAAGGATTAAATGCCACCTAGATATTTTGATTTTAAAAATAATAGGAATTTCTAGTTACAGTATAAATACACATAAAAGTCAAGGCTCCATCCAACTTATTTATTTAAAATACTTTCTCCATGAAAGGGATGGATTCCTCGCTGCATAGGCATGGAAAATGGCCGCCTTTATAGAGGATCTTCACTGGACGTTGAGTTTTCAGCCCATTGGAACACATTGAACAGTTTTCAATGCATTTCAATGGGCTTTTTTATTTCGCTTTATATTTTCGCTCTACAGCGATTTCGCTGGAACAAATTAATGTCAAGGAAGGCACCACTGTATATGTATATAGGTTTTAGTGCTTTGGTGATTTTAGTGTTTTTAATGTTTTCATGTCTCCTAATTTATGTCTCCTAAATAATGTATCTTATTTTTGCTGTTCTTCTTCTTCTTCTTCTGAAATTGTTTTGAAATTTTGAGTTCTCACATATTGGTAATAGTCGATTTACCTCACATTTCTGCCACTCCCTTTTTAAAGCTGATTGTCTTCTAAGGTGAAGGGGTGGTACATTTGATAGTACTGGTAGCCACTCAGAAAGCGTTGATTTAATATAGTTCCTGATATTAGCCTCATGGTTTGGTTAAGCTGGGTGTCCACTGCTTCTGTATGTACCTTATTTACCCATACAGGGCTGCAATAGAATTGCTTTATTTTAATGTGAGGTTTTGTGGATCAAGTCCATTTCCTAAGAGTGAGACTATATGACTATCAATCATATTTATACATGGCACCATTACCGTGTGACACTGGTTGGTTAGTACAGGCTATCAGCTGTGAATAATGTCAATTGTGCTCATGCAGACTAACATTCTTGTTAATGTTATGTGCTGTCAAATGGCTTCTGACTTATGAATTGGTGATTTCCAAAAGATCCTGTGGTTGGTTAGCAGCCCTGCTGAAGCTTTGTGGACCCAAGGATGTTGATTCCACTATTGAATCCATTAACTTCATAGTAGTTCCTCCTCTTTTCTTGCTACCTTCAACTTTTTCTAGCATTATTGCCTCTTCTAGTTAGTCCTGCCCTTTTCATAATGTGCTCAAAGTACAATAGTGTCAGGTTAGTCTTTTTTTCCTTCTAGAAAAAGTTCAGGCTTGATCTTATCCAGTCATTTGGTGGTCCACAGCATGCACAGAGCCCTCCTTTGATACCATATTAGGAATGAATCCATCTTTTCCCAATCATCTGGCTTCACCAGCTTTCATGCCCACACAGAGTAATTAGGAAAACAATAGGGTAGATAATTTTAGCCTTAGTCTCTAGTGAAATCCTTACACTTGAAGATCTTTTCTAGTAATTTCTTCATTGCCATCTCTAAAAATATGCGATCCTTCTTAATCTTGATTTTTGTCTCAATATACCATGGTAATCCTGCTTTTGTTCTTTTCTCTTAGTAATTGTTTCAAGTCATTGCTATCTTCTGCTAGTTACCATGGTAATCCTGCTTTTGTTCTTTTAGTAATTGTTTCAAGTCATTGCTACCTTCTGCTAATAATACAGCATCTGCATTGCTTCAGTTATGGCTATTTCTTCCACCTATCTGTACTCCTCCATCTAAATCAAATCCAGCATTCCATATGGTATATTCATATGGTATGTTCTGCATATGGATTGAATAGGCAGGGCATAAATTACATCTTCATTTGAAACCTTTGCCAACTGGAAACCATTCTGTTTCTCCATATTCTGTTCTAACAGTACCTTTCAGTCTACACTACATATCAGTGGTTCCTAACCTTGGGTCTCCAGATGTTCTTGGATTAATATTCCCAGAATTCTATGAGTTCCAGTCCAAGAACAAGGTTGGGAACCACTGGTATCAGTTATACAGCAGGATAACCAAATGCTGTGAAACAAGCATTTCTTTTAGAATGACCCTTCAGTCAATCGGCTCTCCTGTAATCTATAAACTATAGTGATTTTCTTGTGGAATTCTCTGATATACTGTCACAGCTAATGTATAATTGTGATAAAACCTCTGGTGCTTCCCTTTTTCGAATCCACCTTGAACAGCTAAATTTACCTATCCAGAAAAAAATTAAATTTGGGGCACTGTTAAAGCTACATAAATGAGCAGATTTGTATCTTTTTGGATTATTATGCAACTTTCCCCTATTCTCATAATTTATTCTGGTTTTGTTCATTGTGAAGAAAGATCAGGACACGCAAACTCAACTACTGAATGTTGCAAAACTGACTCAGCCCTATACATTTGATATTCCAAAAAGCACTGCTAAGGTTGGCAGCCATCAGGCCTAGAAATATGGTTAAAAACCAAAAGCCGTATTTTCAGAAGGTAGAATTTCTGCTCCAAAATATAACCTACAGTACTCCTCTACACTCCTTATCCGTATAGAGTTAACTCTGGAGCCATAACGATTTCTAGTGCTTCATGAATACCATTACTTTAATAGTATTCATTCTGCAAGTTCTATGCCTCAAATGTAAGATACTGGAGGGATCACACTGAAAATCTGTGTACTGCAGCTCCCTATCTCCCGCAATGATTGGTCAGTTACCTCTTGGAAGTCCAGTAGCACTGGGGTCCCCAACACCCGGTTCGCGGCCTGGTACCAGGCCTTGGCCTTGGCAAGACCAGGCTATGGAGACAGATGTCCCCCCCACATGTACGCCCCCCATGCACGCACACATGTACGCACGGGGGCCCCCACACACAGGTGTTCCATCCACCCTGCGTGCATGCACTGGTGCCCCACCTACTCACAGATGTCTGCACTGTTGCACTGCCCACTCACATGTACGCCCTACCCACCCGTACACGGACCCCGCCCCCCAAAAATGGTCTGCGGTTCAGAAAAGGTTGGGGACCACTGCACTAGCAGACACAAGGGCCCAGAACAATCCATCCCCAGCATCTGATATTCCCAGATATACCTAATACACGTTCCTCCAGAGTAGCGGGCAGGGTGTCACTCAGGTCCTCTTTTAAATCTTCAATAAGCCTATAAATGATTTTGTTCATTTTCATTTTTACTTTCTTCACAGAAGCCAACTTTTGAATAGATTTATTTGCATTCACGTTGAATCCATAGATAATGCCTGGAAAGTCAACAAAAAAGGAGAGTAGATGTAAATAATTCTTATGACTTAGTATCTTAGCCTTCAAATATGTTAAGGATAGTATTGTGTGTCCTAATGAAAATTAAGTCAAATGCTATGCATTAAGGAAAGGTGAAGTCTGGGATTCAAACAAATTATGTACAATTAAGCAGTTCTTTTGTGTAATTTATTCAGCTCTTGAATATTTGCAGATGGTGGTGGCTATTGAAAATCATATCCTACACCTCTCTAATTTCTGAGATTTCTCAACGCGCTGCATGCAATGTTGGATCACGGCCAAATGGTACATAGATCAGCCCAAAGAATCCTAAATGAAACATCAGATTTGCACCCTCCTTATTCCGAGTAAGCAATTTTGGGAGAATTTAATTTCGTCTTCCAGCTTGTTAGGCATGAACTACCAATTATGCTTCAAAACAGAACAGTTAGCCTAACCACCAATGAGCTGAAACTGGCTACGGTACAGGCAGGTTATCAGCCTTATATTTGGTTCAGGGATAACAAGTTAACTTTTGATCAGAACTAAACTCTGCCAAACTGTAAGGCAGGAGTCTCCTTAAAAGGATCCCAAGTGGCACACTTGCCTTGTAATACTAAACAGCGTCTACTCATCAGCCTAACTTCATAGACATGGTAGTCAAGTATTTCCTTCTTGAATCAAACAGAGAGAGAGAGAGAGAGACGCAAAATGAGTGACTTCAACCCCCAGATTCTACACTAGCACACAAAATACACAACTGGGACATTAAACACAACCAGTTATTTTTTTTCCTGATAATAAAACAAAACAATAAGGCTTGTGGCACCTTTCAGACTTAACATTTATTTGAATCCTAGCTTTCATGGATTCTAAGTCATTTATTTAGAATCATTGCCATTCACAAATTCATCTTACAATTACAATGTGAATGATAAAATAGATTGTAATCTATTAAAGCTCACACTGAAATAAATCTGTTAGTCTTAAGGGTGCCACAAGCCTGTTCAGCCAAATTCCTGTTTGCAGTTATGTATATCACTCACATATCTGGCCTAATGGCTAATAATTGCTGTGTGAGTGGAGGCTGGATTTGCTTTTTCATTTGCTTTAACGCTGTAAATGAGAATTCTGCCTTGCAATGGTGTTGCACTCAGTCACTGTAAAGAATCATAGAATCACAGAGCTGGAAGGGGACTAGAAGGCCATGGAGTCCAACCCCCTGTTCAATGCAGGAATCCAAATTAAAGCAGATCTGACAGGCGGTTTTCTACTTTTCTCTTGAATGCCTCCAGCACTGGAACGCTCACCACCTCCAGAAGGTAATTGGTTCCACTGATGTACTGGTCTAGCATGACTTTTTCTTTCTTTCTGATATTCAATCAAATTTTGGCTCGCTGTAACTTGAGCCCATTATTACATGTCCTGTGCGCTGGGATGATCAAGATTATTTTGTACACACTCTGACTAATTGCTGAGTTGCTAGCCACCTAAAAAGCAGAGTCGGAGGGCTCCATCTTTTCAGCAAATTAAGACATGTAATTTCACACTGATGATCTCAAATGACTAATCTTTACCTTCAAATGTTTCTGCAAGGTTTATGTCATTTTCACTAATGTCTCCAATCCCCCAGTGGATCACATTTAATTCACACTCCTCGTCAGCATCATAGGTATCCAAGATATTCAAAATGGCTTCCACAGAACCATCAACATCACCTGGAAAGAACAAGAACGCTAGTTGGTTTCTGGGTAGAAAGAAGAGAACCATAGACACACAGATACATACAAAAAATAGCAGATTAGCTACCAGTAATGACAAGGATAGTATGCGAGTCTTGAATACATAGAAACTGAGAAATGAGTACAGGTTTGATAAGTTCCACGTAGATTTTTGCCTCGCTTCTGATAGAACCAAAGGATAGACTCCGCTATTTTGCCCGGATCAATACTGAATAAAGGGTTAAGAGGTGCTTAGGTTTCAAAGTTCAGATGTAACAGTGCATCCTGTAGCAAAAGGATAAATAATAAGCAAATAGGTACTTTACCTTTGATTATGATAGAAAGCCTGTTCTTGCTAGAATCTGCTTGCTCTTTAGGCCGGTTAAGCATTGGGTTGTTCCTAGATCTCAATATATTCCTTTTCTGTTTCCAGGTCATGTTGAACAGATCCTCTCGATCCTTATTATAGATATCTTTCTGCTCCTTTCGTTTCAATTCTATGACCTCTAGCTCCTTCTTCGCTTTCTCCTGTTCCTCAGTGTAGGTTCTCCACTCGACAACTTCACGAGCCCTTTGCTTAGTAGAAGAACAAAGGAGTTGCATTTCCAGACCAATTCAGTTCATCTAAGCTAGCCATGTGGTTTGGATCCTAACTTGTTCTTCTAGTCAGGAAAAGATGGACACAGGAAGAAAAGAGGCAGTTTGCCTTCCCCCCCCCTTAATATTCCAAGGGCTCCTAGGAAGACATTTACGGAGGGCACGAGAAGAGTGAGACTGAACTACAGTAGGACCCTTATAATTGCAGGATCAGTGTCTACAGTTTTACTTAAATGCAGCTTGAATATATTAAAAATATTTTAAAAATGCAGAAAAAGATTTTCACATGTATTACCAGAACTGACCACTAGAGGGAACCAGAGACTCTGCCATGAATTCTTGTTATTGAAGAATACATAGCATGGTCTCTGTCACCCTCTAGTGACTAGTTCTGGTAAGCAATGGAAAAACGTGTTTTTTTCCTAATTTTTTCCGCTTTTACCATACTATGTATAACAGTCACTGTTATCCACGTTTTTCAGCATCTGTGGGTGGTTTGGAACCAATCTCCTATGGACTGTACAAGCAAAATTAACAGTAGCTTCTCACAGTGGTCAACCAAATGCCTCTTAAGAGTTCCCACAATCCAAGCATAGTGGAAGTAATATATCAGAAACAGTGACTCCACCAAATACACTGACTATTTCCAAACATGCAGATGCCTTCTAATTTATATATGAGCCCCCATTTTGCCACTGTTGCCATTCTTCAGTTCTGATGGCGTAGGGGAAGAAAAGGCAAAACAGATGCAATACTGTGGACAGAAAATGCAGATTCTACTTAGTCCTTGGGACTTCCTCTGCCTCACCTCCTGCACAGAGCTCAGAAGAACGGGAAAGGGCACAAACACAGAGGAACCTCACATCATCATACAAAGGTTATAATGTCATAGGTTCAAATTTTTTAATTATTTATTTATTGCATTTATTGCATTTATATGCCGCCCATCTAGACATAATCTACTCTGGACAGCTCACAGCATACAAGATAAAAACAATTCAAAATATAAGATGTTGCAGCCTGGTTTCTCTGTGTGTATGCAGTGACTGAAGCCTTCCCCTTTTTATTCATTTTATAAAAATAAACACTTCTTTTAATTCACTGGCCAGAATCCTTCTGCATAGCTACATAAATGACATAACTTTTGTTGGCAAATTGCTCGGAGGGAAGAAATCACCATAGACGTTACCAACTATATGCTGAGTCACACAACTCTGCATGCAAGCTATAATGTCTATGGTGATTTCTTAAATTAGGGCCATTGACTTCCAAAAGTTAATACTGTTTGCACCATGCTTGTGTAACTAGATCAGAGGATTTGGGCCACTGGTTCTTTTCCCTAAGATCTTTTTCACACAGCTGGTCCCTTGATATGAGTTATCTATTCCAGTCACCTAGGAAACGAACCAAACCCAGTGGCGCTAAGTTTAAATCACAGGACAGGAAGTGTACCGTACCTCAGACTCTACTTCAAGAATTTCCTTTCCTGCAGAAGGAATTTTCTTCCACCCAACAATTTGCACTGGCATGCCTGGAGTGGCAGCTTCCATGGGCTTGCCATTTTCATCAAACATCAGGCGTACTTTGGCCCAGCTTGTTTCCGCAACCAGAATACAGCCCTTTTTAAGAGTGCCTCTCTGGATGATGGCCGTGGTCACTGGACTGAGAAGAATTGAAGAGAAATGACATATGATTACACTTTTTATAAGGGGGGTGTGTGTTGTTGTTTTTTCAATGTTGCGTGAGCAACCTACAAAATGTGAGATATAAATATTTTAACACACAGAGAAAGCCACAATGCATGTTTTCTGCATTCTTTAATATATGGTTATCATTAAAGCTCCTCCCTAAATGGTACAGGGGAACAGCACATGTATCAGAGAATCAGAGAATAGTGAAGTTGGAAAGGGCTTATAAGGCCATCAAATGCAACCCCCTGCTCGATGCAGGAATATGGAAAATCAAAGGATATCTGCCAGGTGGTTGTCTAAGTTTCTCTTGAATGCCTCCAGTGTTGGAGCACCCACCACCTCTCGAGGTAATTGGTTCCACTGTCTTACTGCTCTAACAGTTAGGAAGTTTTTCTTGATATTCAAAATCTGGCTTCCTTTAACTTGAGCCCATTGTTTATTTATTTATTTAATTTATATGCCGCCCACACTACCCAAAGGTCTCTAGGCAGCTTACAACATTTAAAATACAATGAAAAGTAAAAACAATAAAAATGTAATTAAAATATAAACTCTAAAAATTGTCATCGGACCCACAGCTGATATTATTTTAATTAAAAACCTTCTGGAACAGGACATTGTTGTGTGTTCTTCACACAGGAACAATTGAAAACAGATCTGCCCCTCCTCTGTATGACAGCATTTCAAGTATTTGAAGAGTGCTATCATCTCACCCCTCGGTCTTCTTTTCTCAAGGCTAAACATGGCCAATTATTTCAGCCTTTCCTCATAGAGCTTGGTCTCCTGCCCCATGATCATCCCTATTATCCTCCTCTGCTGACATCTGATACTATCGCGGTGGCTGTTCAGAACTGCCAGTACAGCACACTACAGATTGATTTTGTTATTGCAACCTTGGAAAGTATACAGGATAACAATTATTATTAATGTGCCATCAAGTCTGAAGTATGGCAGCCCTTTCCAGCGTTTTCCAGGTATAGAATACTCAGAAGTAGTTTTCTCCTTTGGGTGCTCTGGGATTGAATTGCTTGTCCAAGGCCACACAAGCTGCCTTTTCTTCTACAAGGCACCAGCTGGGAACACCAGCTGCTGTTCCAACTCAAAGGATACACTACTGAACGTAAACTAAGGATTGGCAATGTATGGCCTTCCAGAAGTCGTTGGATGGCAACTCCCAGCATTTCCCTGTTGCCAGGCCTGATGTAAACAAATAAGCACTCCTGATTTTATTTGCCTTATCCCATCTGGTTCCTTCTGAGCTGGGCTAGATGCAATTCTCAGCCAGCATCACTGAGAACCAGGTTGGGGAAGGTTAGTTCAGAAGAAATCTGGACGGTTTTGTTGTTGTTGTATATTTAGATTTTGATCAATAAGGATTCATTCCTGCATCTTTTTTCTTTTTCCAGAATGAGATCTTCCTGAACTTTGCATACCAAACTAAGGCATTTCAATGGAAACTACATAGGCCAGGGCGCGGATTCTAATACCGTATAAAAAGATGCACGCCTCTAACTTACCCTTTCCCTTTATCAGTGCAAGACTCTATTATGGTACCTTCTACCAGGCCTGTATAGTCTGCCTTTATTTCCAGCACCTCAGCAAGAGCGACGATAGCTTCTGCTAAAGCATCCAAGTTGTCACCCTATGTCAAATAGTAAAGGAGAGAATCAAAACCAAGAACAGAGAAATGAAACCTCAATGCATACCTTCTGCTGATACAGTGGATTTGCAGATCTAGACATTAGCTTATTCCATAGATGCTAGTTTGTGGATAGGGTGCAGGTATGGCTGCCATTCGGATGCTGCTTTAAGTCCCTTCATGTGGCTAGAATCCCTGTGCTAGAAGCCCGCAACAATGCTTCACCAAAGTTGCTCTTCTTCTTTTTTTTTTTTACTAATGAAGAAAAAATAATTTGACGTCTTCACTTATGACAGTTGCCACAAAATTTTTTTAAAGAGCCAACTTTGTTGGCTATAATTCTGCATTAGACCTTTTGTTATACGTATATTGCTTGTTTGGTCTTTCCAATTAAAAATTGTTCCAGTCCTCTCACTCAAATACAATTTTTCTCCATTAATCTAATAACCTACAGGTTTTCCCTTTGAAAAGGTATATTTGAAAAGCATGCAGATACAAAAGAGTCACCCCCCCCACACACCCAAGAAACAATATGCATTGGAGTAGGAATTTACACAGAACTAGCTTACAGGGTGCTGCAGGGTCAGAAGACCAAGCAGTCGTAAGATCGAATCCATGCAACGGAGTGAGCGCCCGTCGCTTATCCCAGCTCCCGCCAACCTAGTGGTTCAAAAGCATGCAAATGCAAGTAGATTAATAGGGACCACCTCGGTGGGAGGGTAACAGCATTCCTTGTCTAAGTCGCACTGGCCATGTGACCACGGAAAATTGTCTTGTCGCTGGCTCTATGGCTTGGAAACGGGGATGAGCACCGCCCCCTAGAGTCGAACACGACCGGACAAAAATTGTCCAGCGGAACCTTTACCTTTACCTAGCTTGCAGGAGGGTAAAGCATAGTTTTGAATCAAGGACCTCCATAAGATTGCATCGTTTCCTACGCACAATCTTAGGTAATGTAGAATTCTACCAGCAGGAGACTTCAGAGATCTAAACCTAGCATTAGCGCTATCTAGAGCAGACTCACTAGAAGAACATTACTGTACTAAGTTTTGGACAAATTGGGAAATAGCCATATGGTCCTCAAAACAATCCAAATGCAGGAACAGGTGATACATTTCTTGGACCATAAAGAAAACAAAACAAAAAAAGAAACAGTGAGCTTTTGATGATAATTCATCTTCTTCAGGCTGGGCATCAAGTTCTTGTGGGTACAAGTTCCAAAATTAGATGGGTTTTATTTAAGTCCCCTGGCCAGTGTAAGGGCCAGGTTTAGCTTCTTAGACGGAAACAGCTGCAGTCTGCAAGCCAGTGGGAGGAGAGTGGGGCTTCAAACCCCTCCTCAGCCAGTATTTCGGAATTTATCATCCAACTCTTTCAAACGAAGGTCCTCCATGCCATCTGATCCCTCCTATCCACCCAGGGTTAAGTTTGTTATAACGAACCAGCCCCATTCTTTTCAAAGGTTTCATTCCAGGTAAGACCAATACAGTCGTGCCCCGCTTAACGATTACCCCGTATAACGACGAATCAGCTTCACGACGATGTTTTTGTGATCACAATTGCGATCGCAAAACAATGTTTTAATGGGTTTTTTTCGCTTTACGATGATCGGTTCCCTGCTTCAGGAACCGATTCTTCGCATTATGACAATCAAAACAGCTGATCGTCAGGTTTTCAAAATGGCCACCGGCTGCTCAAAATGGCTCTCTGCTGTGTTTTTGGACGGATTCCTCACTTAAAAGGTAAAGGTAAAGGTTCCCCTTGACAATTTTTGTCCAGTCGTGTCCGCCTCTAGGGGGCGGCGCTCATCCTGCTCTTCAAGCCATAGAGCCAGCGTTTTTGCCCGAAGACAATATTTCCGTGGTCACATGGCCAGTGCGACTTAGACACGGAACGCTGTTTACAGGCAGCAAAAATGGCCGCCCCTATGGAGGATCTTCGCTGGATGTTGAGTTATTCAGCCCATTGGAACGCATTGAATGGTTTTCAATGTGTTTCAATGGGCTTTTTTATTTTGCTTTACGATGTTTTCGCTCTACAGCGCTTTCACTGGAACAAATTAACGTTGTCAAGTGAGGTAACACTGTATAAGATTAAGTCCAGACTGCAGTGCAAGTGCATGCCTGTATAAAGCTACCCCTAAGCACCACACATTCTCACTTCCTGTGCCAGCCTTGCGTTTTGTAAAAGAAGAAAAGGAATCCAGGCCCCAAACTGGACACAACGATGGCTCTGAAGATGGTTTGCATTACCTTTAGCCCAGAGATACAGACTGCCTGAACTTCTCCTCCATACTCTTCGCAAACAATATCATGAGCAAGCAGTTCCTTCTTCACTTGCTCGGGATCAGCTTTAGGCTTGTCGCATTTGTTGATGGCAACGACAATTGGAACTGAGAAATGGGAGGAGGGAGGGAAAAAGCAGGAAGGAGGCATGAGATCGAAACATACCCAGAGGGGTTTCCAGTTCCATGGAGGAAAAGGCCTTCTACGTCGCTTCCTTCTCCTCATTTCAAAGCAGAAACACATCTGACATGTATGCCCAAGGCCAAAGAAAGCCTGGATGAACTCCAAACTTTGAAAAAAGAAGCCTTTGAGTGGATATATATATATATAAAGTATGTGAAATGTCAACCCTCTCTCCCAAACTTCCCGAGCTGAAAAACAAACAAACCCGTTTGCTGTACCATTGGCATTTTTCGCATGTTGAATAGATTCCACTGTCTGCTGCTGGATGCCATCTTCTGCAGCTATCACCAATACAACGATATCAGTGACGTTTGTGCCTCTGGCCCTCATGGCTGAAAATGCAGCATGGCCAGGAGTATCCAGGAATGTTATCTTTTCCCCAGAAGGCAAATGCACTGCATAAGAAAAATTAAATCAAGTAAAATGAAATAAAAGGCATGCCTAATCTGCGCTTCTCACACCATTGTGCAGGCTTCTCTAGCAGAAGTCAGAATTTAGCCAAGTCTTGCCCAGCCTGGTGCCCTAAAGAAGTATCATATAAGCATGCATGATAGGATTCCTAGGCCACAGCTTTTGGAGAACACTCAATTGAAGAAGACTGGTTTAGCTTGTATGGGGAGCGGTTGCATCTTTGACACAAATATGTACCACTACACTGCAGTTCCCCGTACACCTTATGGTATTTATGTGAAACTCTTCTCCTTATTTATACCTGGAATTGAGAACAGGTTTACCAATGAGACCCTCAAAATCGCAATTGTGTTTTGATGCAACTATCCAACTACTTGTGGCCAGATCTTGGGGAATTGCAGAAGTTTACGTGAGGGTTTAAATGAGGACTGGGAATCTTGAAGGCCAAATATGGGGAACATATTTTGGGTCTATGATCCCCAGCAGCCCCACATAGCATAGCCAATGGTGAAGGATCATGGGACACATAGTCTTAAAGAGCCATTCTCAAGGGGGGGGGGCTGGCACATTTGAAAGGGACCACAGACTGGAAACAATTCTTCACATACCACCTTATAAGGTTCACTATGCACTTCTACAATCCAGATTTAGTCTACATTTCTTTCATATTGTGTTTCTGGCTGTGGTCAAAAAAAGGTCGAGAACGGCTCATCTAAAACACACAGAAGGCCAGAAGGTCCCCTTCTGTTGATTTAAACTTGGTTCTCCAGACACAACCTGACCACAAGGTCAGAGAGGGGAGGTTACCTTAGACCAGGTCTCCAAACTATGGCCCATGGGCCACATTCAGCCCATACTGCCATTTTGTCCAGCCCTTTCCCTTCAGCCTGTGCGTGGGCTGAGGGGTTTCCGTATATATGTGTGGGGGCTGTGGGCATGGGGGGGCTGGCATTCATCTGTCCATGCAGTGGGGCAATGTGTGTGTGTGAAGGTGTGTGTGCGGGCAGGCAGGGTGTATGTGCATGCAGTTGTCTGTGGACGGGGTACACATATTTGTGTGTGCGTGTAGTGCGGGCAGGCAGGGTGTATGTGCATGCAATCGTCTGTGGAGAGGGTACACATATTTGTGTGTGCGTGTATATACACACACACACACATTCTTGTTCTTTGGCCCTCAAAAAAAATTTACACATTCTTGTTCCTTTGGCCCTCAAAAAAATTCGAAATATCTGTTGTGGCCCTCACTGTAAAATGTTTGGAGACCCCTGTCTTAGACAGATGACTTGGTGGGACCTTAAAGGCAATGAAGAAAGATCTAGGCTCTCACTGCCACCTTCCAGGAACATATCTTGTATAAACCCCATTGAAATGAATGAGGAGGCATGTGGAAATACACTTTCCTGGTGCCCTACCATAAAAGCAACCCAATGACACTTGCGCTGTGTGTGTTAGATATCTAAATATCTTGGCAAGATCACATGGAAACGCAAAACTGTTGATAGCACCATACTGACCTTACCGCACCACCAAGATGTTTAACTTATACGAAAAATAATTAAAATTGGTAAATGTATATAAAGTTTTAAGTGTTCAGAGCACATCATATAGATGGCCATGTCATCATCTTCACAAGAACTCTGCAAAGTAGGCCAGCATTGTCAACCCACAGGTGTGAGATGCTGAGGCAGCGTGAGAGGCTTGTGGTTAGCTCATGGCCACCTCAATGAGTTCATGGCAAAGTCAAAATGTGAATCAGAGATTTCCAGATTTGAGGCCCTTCACTGCTATACTGTACTGGCTCGAGTGTGTGTTAGACAATGCCCAGTAAACTTTCAGCTGCCTTGTAAATAACAGAACAATTTATATACCATATTTTTCTCTGTATAAGATGCCCCATGTATAAATCGCTCCCCACTTTTCTAAATCAAAATTTCTTTCTTTGCAACATTTTTGTTGCAAAAAGCAGATTCCCCCTTCCAGGTTTAATTGCAAATGTTTTCAAATGAAAATGTAAGTGATTTCTGCTTTCCCCCTACATTTTAATAGCAAATGTTTTCAAATGAAAATGTAGGGGAAAAGTAGGAATCGCTTTCTCCCTCCATTTTCTTTGCAAAACGTGGAGGGGAAAACGGATCAAAGCTTTTTGATCCCTCCCTCCTCCTTACTTCCAAGTATAAGACGACTCTCAATTTTTCCTTTATTTTAGGAAAAAGTGTCATTTTATACACAGAAAAATACGGTCACTGTGATTTCTCCATTCTCTTTTGGTGAAGTGCTTTGAGCCCCAGTTTTGAGAGAAAGGCGGGATAGAAATTAAATAAATAACACAAGTAGTTTTGCACAGTCAAAGGTCAGGGATGATGGGAGTAGTAGTCCACTGTCACTGCCAGGAAGGACATAGGAGGTACCCCCACCCCACCTTCCCTAACTATAGCACAAGTAGCACTTTAAATTCCCCAAAGAAATCCATACCGAGAAAGGCACCAATGTGCTGGGTGATGCCTCCAGCTTCCATTGCTGCCACCTGGGTCTTTCGCAGGCTGTCAAGCAATGTCGTTTTCCCATGGTCAACATGGCCCAGGATGGTAACAACAGGAGGCCTCAAGGTTAATAAGGCTGGATCTGCAGGAGGTCTGCAACACACAACACATTTGGTTGGCAGGCAAAAGAAGCATCCATCTGTGTAGCTTTTTCACATTTTCCTCCTTAATGCTTTCCTAGGAACAAATTCCATTAGCATTCCGGAGTAGCAAGGATCTCATCTCAGTGTGTAACCTTCAAAGGCAGACTCCGATTGAGATGTATCAACAGACAAAAAGAAGGGATGTACAACTTTATGGCAGAAAGAAACATGGCCCCTCTTTTATAACAAAGGAGTTTATTTCCCTTATTTCTTCCTATTTTGATAGGTTAAAAGAGAACAGATTCATCAAGGACTTCCTTGTGAAGGCTACAGCTGAAATGAAAAATTCAGAATTGTTATTCTGGGTTTTATCTGGGCTTATGGAGAAGAAAACATGAAGCTACCCTAGAGCAAGGTGGATGCTTGGCCCATTTAGCTGTGCTACAGCTACTCTACCAACATATCATTTTCTAGGGACAGGTCAACGATTCAGTTTTGGAATGCCTTCAAGGCATGTCCTCTCTCTCTGAGATGCAGAAATTCCTTTTAGGTGACCAGTCAAGTGGAAGTTTTATAAATTTTCAGGCAGATAGAAGAGCAACTAAGAATATTGTGAAGTCACTGGTTCTTGCTTTATGACAGCCATGAA